CCATTTGTTGAACTTTGGCGATGTTTTCGTCGGTAGTTGCAGTTTTTAGACGTCCCGAACGTTTTTCATCTTCCAAGCTCCCACGACTACGTTTAAACTCAGCTGGCCATAATTTCACTGTGATAAATGATGATGCAGAGTCCTCATACACAGAATCCAACAAATATTTTTTGATTTGCGTAGGATAAATTTCTAATGACAGCAAGATACTCGACTCGATTTTGTCCATTTTCATATAAACAGTCACATCAACACACTCAAACGACTATTACATAACAACTGCGCTTCCCAAATGGGTGAAACTATGGTCAACTGATGAACAACGAAATTCGCTGGCTTTTATTTACGAGTGCTGCTATCTTAATGTTGAGGTCGGGAACTTTTCAGACCACCCTTGTAGTTCACATATTTGATTAAACTCTGAGCGCCATTGTTCAATATTCGTTTTCGTCGTCACTTCACTACATAGAACATGAATCTTGCCTAGAGGCATCTCGAGTAAAATGGCACTTTGCGATATGGCACGTGAAATGCGGAAGTTATCTTTTCTGGCGTTTCATGTTCACCTGCTTAGGTGGTCTTTTGATGGATTGTCTAGATCGATTTTTGTTGTTTAGAGATGTGCCCTCCGGAGGGTATTAAAGGTCGTATGTTAGATAATCTTTTATTTTGATGCGGATAATGTTTTATATGTTTATATAGTGTGATTCAGAATTTATCATATTATATTTTATTCGAGGCGCTATAGAATTCCAAATAGAAGTTTTTTGTTTTATGGGAATACGTATTCAATTCAATCGAAGTAAGCACCATTTGAATTAGTGACACAAGGCGGAGAACTTATCGAAGTGTTTGCCTACAGAATAAGGATGATATAATTGAAAAAGTACAAAAAAAAACGAGGAATTGTGGATTTATTTTTATTATTTCAACATGAAGTAAAAGCAAAAAAAAACAATGCTACACAACTATACTGAGTATAATAGTGATACACAAGTGTTTGCAAAGTGATTATAAGTCTTTGTAAAAAGTTTTCTTTTTCCGTCAAAGCTTCTTTTGGTACTTTTTCTGCTGTGTTCTTGCGAATTTTTCCTTTTTAACATCCAATAGTTAACATTCATCATCATGTTAACATTCCACCGACCTTGGTATCTGCGTTCCATTTCTTTTATGTCTTGATGGAACCGTTCTCCTTGTTCCTCAACTTTTTGATGAATCGATGAAAAGTCTCCATTTCTCTGGTTCATACGTTATGTTGAACATTTCCATGACGCCGGGTACATTGTTGCAGAAAACTAGGTCACCCACTTGTATAAAAAAAGTAATAAATTCCCTTTCTCTAAATCGGTACCATGAAAATGAAATACCGGAGGCTAACATATGTCTTTCTTTAAGTATAGACCCTAAAACTTCTGCTGAGTCCTTTGGGAGGACCAGATCTCGTACTAAATCGTTCAAGTCTGATTGAGAGAAAAGTTCAGGGTCATTGGTACCTGGATCGTAGTTGGCATCACTGTCGCTACTGCTACTATGTGTTTTTGCGTCTAAATCGTCTAAAATGTTGTCCAAGGTATCCGGAGCTGAGCCCAATTTTTCTGCCGAGACTTATAAAGCTTGGCTTTGCATGATATACGCCATAAGCCACACCACAGCCATAAGACTAGTTTTCGGTTTGCTATTCCGATATGGCTTGGTACAGACAGAAGTATAAAGTATATACTCCTCATAGTTAAACATCAAGTCATAAATAATATACCGGTTAAGAGTCCTTATCCTCGCTCTCCTCTTCGTAACGACTATGCAGTTAAATTAATTCAAATACACAACGACGAGTCAAACATCCAAAGTTGGCAACTATTATTGCACAAAGTTGCTGAATGTGTTCGGGAATGCGGCTTGCCTAGCCGCAGCGCAGCTGTGTATACCTCCGAACATTTGAAACATCATTCATAACTGTTTGTTATTCAGTCGGATTATTCTTACTTCCTTTGCTTTGCGACTTGGAGAAATTGTTTATAGTCCGGGAACGTTGGAAACAGAAACGAAGGTGCTTCTTAGTGCACTGTTGTTTATAGTTTACATAAGATGAAATGGGAATCATGGCGTTTTACCTGAAAATTATTATTATTTGTCATTAATAAATCCTTTTACTAATACATAAACCTTTATGAGAAATGTATTGATTTCTGTAGTATTGCAAGAATGCATAACTGGCTGGATTCCCCACAATGTTAAAACCCTGGTTCTTCTTCTTAATAAAATAGTATATAAGGTCACGTTGAGTTGGCTTTGTTCCAGAAAACTGTATGTTCTTGTGATATGGTGGCGGGTTAGTTTTAATAAAAGTATTTACCGTTCATCATTTGTACAGCTGCCGGTAGTCTTGCGCATTATAGTTCACGAGCGGGAACGCTCATTTTAGTTCGCAGCTCTTAAACGAACTAGTTCGATCTTTTAGTTCGTTAGTTCACTACTTCAAGTCGCGAAGGACCTACTTGTTGTCTTATTCGCTTGCGTTGATCAACAATGTATTTTGGTAAAAATAAACGACAATACCTGTTTGTAAATAATCAACTTTAATAGCCCCATAAAAAAATCCAAAGGTGTCAAATCTGGCGAGCGGGTTGGCCATTCTGTAGGACCTCGACGGCCAATCCAACGACCGGGACAAGTAGTATCCAAATAGTTTCTTACTCGGAGTAATGTGGTGGTGCTCCATCTTGTTGGAATACACTATCCATATCGAATTCATTAGGCGCTTCTACGATTCCAGTGATGAGAGGGTCAACAGCATATTCAAATACAGTTTCCCTGTTGAATTTTGATCAATAAATAGTGGTCCTACAATATGGTTTCCTAATATTCCTGCCCAAACGTTAATTTTTTCTGGGTTTTGGGGATGTGTTTCCCGGAAAATGTTAGGATGGGTGTCACTCCAATAACGGCAATTTTGTCTGTGAACATTGCCGAAAAAAAGGTGCATTCGTCACTAAAACAAATACTCTGGAGATAGGTAGGATGCCTTGCAATGGTTTCCGTCATGATTTCGCAGAATTTTGTTCTTCGATCAGGGTCATCTTCAGTTAATTGGTGTACCATATTAATTTTGTATGGATGATACCTATTCCTCTTCAAAAGTCTCCACTCAGTAGAAGGAGATACCTCACAAATATTCGCGACGGAATAAGTAGACTGTTGAGGATTTACTACCATCTCACCAATTATTTGCACTTGCTGTTCTTCAGGAATGGACGGATGACCTGGGGGCTTTTTGTTATGTACACTACCGGTAGTTGTGAATTCCCTCAAATATTTTCTACAGATAGGACGATTCGGAAAACATTCATTGAAAATCATTTCGGTCTCGTGAAAGTTACGCGTCGCACCGTAAATAAAAATCCTTTCAATTTTTTCTTCCAATGGACGAGAATTGACCATTTTAGATATTGTTGACGTGGTACCTTTCTACTAGTATAGCCGAAAACTAAATGAGAATATTCTAACTGAACAATGATGTTCATTGTCGTACTGACGGAATCCCTTCGTTGAGCCGCTCCGCGGTCGAGTAGCCACCGCCTCATTGCCGGCAAGTCTCCGCTCCTCTGCCAAACTTTGTAGCCGTTTAACGCGAGTTTGCTCCCGATAGTCATCTTCGTTTTGTTGTTGGCGCAACGTCGAGCCGGTTTCGGAGTTTGGAGAGTTTGTGTACGCCGACCGCTGATGATAACAAACTTTCTCATAATGACGCGTTATCTCGAAATTGCTACTTCAGATTCGCTTTCGGCTTTCCGTAATTCCCGTTGGCCTTTCGAAATTCCCGACTTGCCCGATTTCGTTGTCGAAGTCCAGATAATCGCCGAACAAATAGTATTGTTGCGAGTGTGGAATTTGCGAGTACTTTCGAGAAACTTGCGGAGTTATTAGAAATTATAGAATAGGATTTGATGTTACTGTTAACCTCGAAATGGTCGGTGGGTCTCCTGCACACTCTCACAGACAGCGGCGATGTTTTTCGACAGCCCTTGCTTTTTATCAACGTACGGGTGTTGGTCGATCGTTTATCGAATCAGTAAAATCCGAATAATCATCTCGGTAGGACGATTATGACGATCGTAAAATTGGCAAAAGCGCGCGGTACGTTGCCCTAACAGAATATCCATTTTGATTGAACAATTTTATTATTTGCACGTGTTGAATGCATATATCTATCTATCCATGGTGATTTGGCGAAACAGAATATAAATGACAACTAATTTGACAGATGTAGCTTCAGCAAGATGGCCTTTATCGATTGTCAAAGTTCAGGAGTCTCTGTTGGAAGAACCTATATAATCCATGCCACAAATACCATTTTTGTGAAGATATTAGTTTTCTGACTGGTGGTCTGTCTCGTTGAGGGATACGCCTGATCCTGGTTGTCCGCTTGCTTGAATTATTGATGTCTAAAGAAAATTCAAATCTCCCGCCACGATGTTCTGAAATGCAGAAGCGTGCGCTCTGATTGGTTAGCCGATTTTGATACCGCTGGTTTGGAGCGAGGCTAGTCCACGGTGACATGTTTTGCAAAGACTGAGGAGTTTGAGTTCCTCTCGCCCTACTCATTTCTGCCACTGATCAGGAGTCCGGCGACCCCATCCGTAAAGCCATATTGGCTTCCCGGACGGGGCCTCCAGTCCCCTGGCCGTTCCCCTATCCGCAACCTGCGGACGCGCCCGATAGGTAGCCCAACCCACGGAAAAACAACTGGATTGCTGGCCACAATTTCTTGAATCCGTGGGGTGAATGATGTTTCGAAGATTTTTCTATAGATATATGAGATCAACAATATGATTTTTAATATTCCTGTACAGACATTTGTTTTATCGGGAGTTTGAATGTGACTTTTGCAAAAAATATAGAGGAATAGATTTATAATCAATTATTTACATGTAAATTATTCGAATTGAATCTTCCTTAACGAATATTGGATGGACTTTAACGTATTTGTTTTTCTATTTCAGGTCGTCTTCATGTCTAACGATGGAACACGTTTTGAATCGCCAAAGGTAACCTAAGGGCCGAGTCAGGCAGCCAGATTTATCGAAACACCGGCGGCACCGATCCCAGGCAGTAGTAGGTACTTCTCGGGGGCGGCGACTAAATCGTGCAAAGTGCGCAGCAGTGCGGAGTGGTGTGGTGGTGCGCGCGGTGTGCTGATGTGCTTGTGACGGTGTGACGACGAGAGTGCGTTATCCAGTGTCCGACGCCAGGTGGTCTATCAATGGACAAGAGGAAAATGATGCCAAAAAGGCCTAGGTTTGAAACGCGCGGTCCCATCTCCAACGGGCCAATGCAGACGCGGCCGCTGGTCGCGCTGCTCGACGGTCGCGATTGCTCCATCGAGATGCCGATCCTTAAAGACGTCGCGACGGTCGCGTTCTGCGACGCGCAGAGCACCAGCGAGATCCACGAGAAGGTGCTCAACGAGGCGGTCGGTGCGCTCATGTGGCACACCATCATCCTCACCAAGGAGGATCTCGAGAAGTTCAAGACTCTGCGCATCATCGTGCGCATCGGCAGCGGCGTGGACAATATCGATGTAAAGGCGGCGGGCGAATTGGGCATCGCGGTGTGCAACGTGCCCGGGTATGGCGTCGAGGAGGTTGCAGATACGACGCTGTGTCTCATACTCAATCTGTACAGGCGGACCTTTTGGCTCGCTAATATGGTGAGGGAAGGCAAGAAATTCACGGGACCTGAACAGGTATGCTACAGTATAGTTTACAGTTTTTGGTGACTTGTGTAAAATTACATACATAATCTTTGCCGGCGTAGAGTGAGTAGGACTAAAACTGTTACATATTATGTATTTGTTTATTTGTAATAAAATATTCTACAGGACATAGCGGGAATGTTCCTCAATTTGGGTTATTACAGCAAATGCAAGTTTGAACAAAATAAAGTTGAGTTCAATTCATGAGTTTTTCAAATTCACTTCGAAAAGTATTCAAATTGATGTTTCAAATGTTGGGTTTTAATTTTTAAAGGGATTTGTTTCTAATTCACATATTGGCAACAGCGTATATCAAGTTGAAAAGGCTTTGCAGTTTTAAAAATCGTCGTTGAATTGCTTCTATTCTATCTATATGATATTGATAAAAGGGGCTCCACACAACTGACTCATATTCTAACTTTGATCTAATGAAAGCATATAATAGAGTTTTCAAGGTCGAAGGTTTTTTTGAAATCACTTTTGTTACGTGCAATTAGTCCGTACAAACGACAGGAGGAGGTCACAACATTATCGATATGCCTATTAATTTAGTGCAGTGTTAAATGTGACGCCAGGAACAGTAAATGTTTCTGGTCTCACCAGGGAAACGTTTTCTATTGAATAATCAAAGATCAAGATGTTCGTTTTTAAACTGTAGGACATGACCTTACATTTATCTGGGTTTAGCGACAAGTTATTTCAATAACACCATTCTACAACCCGTCCTAAGTTTGCTGAAAGGTTCACACAATCATATATATTCTCAACGATGCAGTATAGTTTTAGATCATCAGTATACAAAAGGAAATATACCTCTATAACATCTGCATTATCGTTATTGAAGATATTGAAGAGCAGCGGTCCCAGATTTGACCCTTGTGGAACACCGGAAGAAGCACTATATTCGGTAGATTTGAAGCCATTGAGCTGAACATATTGTTTTCGATCCCGTAGATAGGACTGAAAGAGTGTAATTAAGGAAGGAGATAATCCAAAGGCTACTAGTTTGTTAAGTAGAATGCCATGGTCAAGCCTGTCGAAGGTCTTAGAAAAGTATGTGTAAATAACATCAGTTTGGGTCCTATTGTCAATAGATTCAGCAATATGTTGGGTTACAGTCAGATGGTGACCGTTTAACGATTTTTCATAAAACCGTGTTGGTTTATACTTATACCTCGCTCCAGCAGAATCTCAAGAACCTTTGCAAAGTTGCAAATGATAGAGATAGGCCGATAATTTGAAATGTCTCGTCTATCTTCTTTCTTGAAAATGGGACAGACTTTTGATGATATCCATATCCTTGGTATTCTAGCCGATCTTAAGCAGATATTAATTGGTATACATAGAGGACGAGCAAGCACAAGTGCACAATCTTTTAGGATGAAAGCTGGAATGTCATCTGGGCCAGTGGTCTTTTTAGGCTTGAGCGACCTTAGTTCCTCATATACTTCGTTTTCACTGAAGCTTGATATACCAAAAAAGTGATTGTTATCAATATCAGAGTTTGGTTGAAAAGGGGAAGAAACGGTATACGATCGTTTGAAAAGATTGGCAAAACCGTTTACAATATTAGAGGGCTCCTCCAGCAATTGACCTTCAAAATTCAGTACTTGTGATATTTTGGAGCTACCTCGTGTATTATTTATAAATGAGTAAAATCTGTTGGGATTGATATGTTTTTCTTCCTCAGTTTCACCTAAGAATATTTGTATGCCACATCAACATCACGCTTTATTTTTGCCCGAAGGTGTTTGAAATCTTCAAGGGCCTGCAAATTACACTCACGCTACGCCAGATTCTGCTTTTATCCTGCAAGTCTCTGATAATGCTTCTATTATACCAAGGAGGAAATTTATTTTTGGATTCAACTGTATACTTGGGACAGCAGCGATCAAAAACGTTATAAAGTTTTCCATAGAAATATGTAGATGCATCTTCTGAGTCATCAAGAACTTCCAAGAAGGTCCAGTCAATATGAAATATTTGACTATACAGTCGTGGATAGAGTTGGCTCTTTTGAAATTATAATTATTCTGGAAACAGGAATTCAGTTTATTTTTGTAGTTAGCCTTCGTCTCAAGTACACAAGTAATATCCAAGGCAAGATGCTGCTGATCTTCGACTACGAAAGGATCCATTGATTTCTCCACATGACACTCTCCATTAAAAAATACCAGGTCAAGAAGTCTATTGAGTTTATTATATACAAAGTTATTTTGAGATAGGTCAAGGATTTGTAAAAAGTTAGTGGTAATAGTGAGTTCCCTATTAGTTAGTTGTACCATGATTAAGATAGCTAGCATAATCGCTAATATTAAAATATCCTACAATGAGAACTGCACTATTATGTAATATGTGTAGTAATTCCAGATCTTCAGCTAAGAGAGTCTGAGGGGTTATGTAAACATTTAGCAGTGAATATGTTATTTCAACCTGGGCCTATGGCGGGAAGCGCTTACTGCGCAACCTCTGCTGCAGGCAACAAGTGATGCAATTGAACCCAGGTTTGTGAGTACTCCAATAAGGACACCTGAATAATCATATGAAGAGACTTGGACTGTCTGAAAACAGTGGATACATCTCTATTTGCTTTCAAGTGAGGCATACGTCTGGACCACGTCAGCGCCTCGTTCCGTATGAGTTACGTTACGTTCTGTAAGAGTTACGCTTTCGCCATCTGACCCCGAATGATTATTTATTAAATAAACTAACCGGCTTCGTAAAGAAGCTGAACTTAATTGAAATTGAGAGTCGAATAGACCCACGAACTTATAACCTACTCTTATGATGTGAGGTCCTACCGACGCCCTCTCTTTCACAATCACAGTCCTTGTCTGGGAAAGACATCTGCTGAACTCAACATTCAGTTTATTAATTGGCGCTTGGCTAGCTCACTCGGTAAAGCACGAGACTCTTATTCTCAGGGTCATGAATTCGAGCCTCACGTTGGGCGCCAGTAATGCAACAGGTGCAAATTATAGTTCATTAGTGAACTGTAAATAATGATTGTTGAGTTCAAATTTATGTATTCTCACAGAAAAGGGAAGTTCAGAATTCACTTGATTGTTGATATGCCAAACGTATATTTCATACAGTATCCCCTCTAGTGGATAGTGGATTTCATTAGTTCGGACTTCCATTGTCAAATATGATTCTGTGATTGGAAGTCTGTGAAAGAACAAATAAAATAGAAATTAATAGCTGAAATATCAATTGTATTGAGCAAATCTTGAAATATGAATGAAATACATTAAAACGAATAAAATAATCGAGATGCGAAATAAAAAATGATCACAGAGTAAAAACAAATAAAACAGAATGAAAATAGGAAAAAATCAAAAATTTAATTGAAACATTAAAAAACATTTCAATCCAAGTTACTGCACGACGTTAGTATCCACAATCGTCATCGGGTGATAACTGGACAGTTTTTCCGAGAGATTACTATTTATAGGTCCATCGAGCGCTTTCACCTATCCCCTCCTTCACTCTCTCCGCTGCATTGGTTTTTAGTGGGAGATGACCGTTTTCCGCTTGATTACAGGTTTTCATATGGTGCGCATCTCTACGCTAGCTTGACTGAATGCGTCGTTGGACAACATATATACAGCCTCTTTGAACTTCTTTTTGAACCAGTGTTCCTCCATGGGATATCAGCAGGTTCTGATGTTGTACTTGGACTCAATACTTATCCTTTCCGACAATCCTCTAACGTAGGGAAGTACTAGGGAATGAAGTTTAGTCAAAGTCTGTTCCACCATCACTTTGGAGTAACCATTCCGTTGAAGATATTTTTTATGATTTCTAGTAATATACTTTGGACGAAGCGGCGATAAAACAGAAATAAATTGCTCAGTAGTAGCCATCAAATGTTGATAATCATCTTCTCCTACACACAGGCGACACCTTTTCTGAACGTTTTTTTGTCGAATATAGTTAATAGGAATGAGAGAAGCATCACTGCCGCTTCCAATTTCTATCTAGAATTGGTCGGCAATTAAAAAATAAGATTTTTCAACTTCGCCCAGAGGTAAAAGTCCATAGGCGTTAGTTCCGGTGACCTAGCCGGCCAACGGTTGGGTCCTTGGTTGGTCCAATTATTAATAAATTTAGTAGCATATCATCAATAAGGGGTTCAATATTTTGCCTTAAATATGCCTTGAATGCCTACCTCTGAGATGTGAAAGTGCCATTATAAATGAACTGGCCGATAATTCCACCCCTGAAAACACCTACCCGCACACTGAATCCACACTTGACTTCTCTGCTACATAATAGAATGAGGATTTTGTTGTGCCCAAGTATAAGAATTGTAGCAGTTGAAAATGCCTGCTCTGATCACATGAGCTTCAGCTGTGTAAATACAATTTAAAGAAAAATCACGCAATAATAATAATATGTATTTATTCACTTTCTTAAGATTGTTCACAGTAAATATACATGTACATATAGAAATGAACAGTGAACAAATAAAATACATCTTACGAGGCAAAATGATCTGCCTGTGTGGAGGAGGGGGATCACATCATAATCATTTTTGGTTTTTTTTAAAACCATGTGTAAATCTTTATAAATATGTTGTCAATGTAAAATCTAACAAGAAATAATTACTTTACTTCGCAATTTTCTTTCGTTTCAGAATTAATCGCCGAATAATAATTAGTCTCATTAGTGTCGAGTATCAAAAAATCGCTATTGTTTGTTGCGCATCATTCGAACCCAATTCCGAGATCTCCGTTCACTGACCTGAATTTGAATATGAATAAAGTGCAATCTTGACTTCGATAACCTCGAAAGTAACCTATTTAATTTGTTGCTCGTAATGAAATTGCAACGCTGAAATCGAGTTGAAAGTGTCGCGAACGTGTTTCGGGAAAACGAGCGAATTGTTTTTAAAACGAATATATCATAATCAGCAAACGGTCACGGACAAAAGTGCTAGGCACTTTCTCATTTAAGTGACCATGACTTGCGTAAGACGTTATTTATTAACGTATACTCGATGTTCGCCGACGTGGATGGTAAACAATTGTTGTTATTTTTTGTGGACGAATGGAGTGAAAAACTGTGGAAAGGGAATCGGTAACACCAGTGCCGAACTCAGCCAGTCGCTCGTGATGTGAAATTGCATTGTTGTCGACTTAATGAGTCTAAACATTAACGATGGACGTACGAGGTCTTTTCAAAAAATTATGTTAATTTAAATTTCCAAAAAAATAATTTTTCGTCAATTTCTATTTTGTGTCCTACAAAGTAGTCCCCGTCCGATATAATACACTTTTGCTAGCGTTTTTTCTAACCTTCAAATCAGTTTTGGTATATCCTTGAGCTCTATAACCTATTCGCTTTTTATCTCCTCAATCGTCACAAAACGCCGTCCCTTCATGGGTCTTTTTTATCTTGAAAACAGAAAAAGTCCCAGGAGGCTAAATCTGGTGAATACGGTGGCTGATGCATGATTGCGGTATTGTTTTTATCCAAAAAATTACGAACAAGCCGTGATGAGAGAGCAGATGCATTATCGCGAGACAAATGCCATGAATTGTTTTTCCACAATACCGGACGTTTCCTCGTATTGCGTCTCGAAAGCGGCGCATAACTTCAAGATAATACTTCTTATTGACAGTACGACCATGTTGCAAGAACTCCTGATGACTACGCCACGGTAATCGAAGAAAACAGTGAGCAAAACCTTGGCATTTTGATCGAACTTAGCGTGCTTTTTTTGGTCTCGGCTCTAATACTCCTTATTGACCGTACAACCATGTGGCAAAATACTCATTATTGACCGTACGACCATGTGGCAAGAACTCCTGATGCCACGGTAATCGAAGAAAACAGTGAGCAAAACCTGGGCATTAGAAAGAACCTGGTGTTCTGTTTTTGTCTCAGCTTTAATACTCCTTATTGACCGTACAACTATGTGGCAAAATACTCATTATTGATCATACGACCATGTGGCAAGAATTCCTGATGCACTACGCTACGGTAATCGAAGAAAACAGTGAGAAAAACCTCGACATTTGATCGAACTTGGCGTGCTTTTTTGGTGTCAGCTCTAATACTCCCTATTGACCGTACAATCATGTGGCAAAATACTTATTATTGCCTGTACGACCATGTGGCAAGAACTCCTGATGCACTACGCCTCGTTAATCGAAGAAAACAGTGAGCAAAACCTTGGCATTTGAGCGAACTTGGCGTGCTGTTTTGGTCTCAGCTCTAATACTCCTTATTGACCGTACAACCATGTGGCAAAATATATTCATGTAACTCTTCAATATTGAAAACAGAAAAAGTCGCAGGGGGCTGAATCTGGTAAATACGGTGGCTGATGCATGATTGCGGTATTGTTTTTGTCCAAAAAATTACGAACAAGCCGTGATGAGAGAGCAGATGCATTATCGCGAGACAAATGCCATGAATTGTTTTTCCACAATATCGGACGTTTCCTCGTATTGCGTCTAACTTCAAGATACTTACTTCTTATTGACAGTACGACCATGTTGCAAGAACAGTGAGCAAAACCTTGGCATTTTATCGAACTTGGTGTGCTTTTTTTGTCTCAGCTCTAATACTCCTTATTGACCGTTAATGTGGCAAAATACTCATTATTGACCGTACGACCATGTGGCAAGAAATTCTGATGCACTACGCCACGGTAATCGATGAAAACTGAGCAAAACCTTGGCATTTGATCGAAATTGGCGTGCTTTTTTTGGTCTCGGCTCTAATACTCCTTATTGACCGTACAACCATGTGGCAAAATACTCTTTATTGACCGTACGACCATGTGGCAAGAAATCCTGATGCACTATGCTACGGTAATCGAAGAAAACAGTGAGCAAAACCTGGGCATTTGAAAGAACCTGGTGTTCTGTTTTTGTCTCAGCTTTAATACTCCTTATTGACCGTACAACTATGTGGCAAAATACTCATTATTGATCATACGACCATGTGGCAAGAATTCCTGATGCACTACGCTACGGTAATCGAAGAAAACAGTGAGAAAAACCTCGACATTTGATCGAACTTGGCGTGCTTTTTTGGTGTCAGCTCTAATACTCCTTATTGACCGTACAATCATGTGGCAAAATACTCATTATTGCCCGTACGACCATGTGGCAAGAACCTCCTGATGCACTACGCCACGGTAATCGAAGAAAACAGTGAGCAAAACCTTGGCATTTGAGCGAACTTGGCGTGCTGTTTTGGTCTCAGCTCTAATACTCCTTATTGACCGTACAACCATGTGGCAAAATACTCATTATTGACCGTACGACCATGTGGCAAGAANTGCACTGTGCCACTGCGAGCAAAACCTTGACATTTGATCGAACTTGGCGTGTTTTTTTGGTCCTCTTATGGACCCTTCTAATGAGACGATTTGTTTTGATGTCATAACCATGATTCGTGACCCTTTTAAGCAAATCTGGTTCGCCGTTGACGTCATTCAACAATTCCTGAGCGATGCTCATGCGACGGTTTTTCTGGTGAAAATTCAGCAATTTTGGAACGAACTTTGCTGCCACACGTTTCATGTCCAAAATTTCAGAAAAAATGCAAGGCTTAAGCTACCGATATACTGACATCCTCAACAACTTCTCTAATGGTGATTCGACGATTCTCAATAACAATTCTATCACCTTCTCGTCATTTTCACCAGTTGTTGATGTGCTAAGGCACAATGCATACAAAACGGACGTCTGGCAGAGACGAGCTGCGGACCTTTGTCTCGTCCGCGTCTCCCTTACGTAAACAAATGGTCCAATGTTCACAGAAGTGACATGGCGCGGATAGTCGGCCTCCCGCCCTCGCCACGTCTCTTTATCGTCTCTCGTGGCGTACAAGAAGGGAACACCTCGACACGTGTTTCTATCACCAAGTGATCATCTCCAAGAGGAACATCAAACTGATCTTTTCTTTCTCTTATCCCGCATTTTTTGTGAAGAGATGTAAAAATATGAAAGGTAAAAATCATTTATTTTCATGGGCTGGAAATAATCAATGTTGTATCGTAGCTTGGAATATATAACATCAATGTTATCCTCAGCGTTTGTTTGGCATAAACAGTTCTGATAACTCTTTTAAGTACTGTTGAAACACATTTTTTATTTTGCTTACATGGCGGGCATATATTGCTCATCACTTTTGTGAATAGCAATATATGTAGCATCAGCTTTTTCCGTGGGATGGTCGACTTTGTCAAATACGTTGACATCCGGCCTGGTTACCGGCGTAAAGAGCTGCCAATCCACTGAAATAGATCATGTACACTTCAAGAATATTTGAGCTATTAGTATTCAACTTTCATCTTTTCACGCATGGATTTCCTTTCCGTCGTATGGAGGAAATCGATCAAAACACCTAAAAAAAAGAATGTTTCATCACTACCATTTTGTTCTTGCAGATAATTGGATTTACAGCCAGTCTCCAAGTATGCCCACTGACTATTCGTGAAAAATACCATTTTGTTATTTGTTTCCAGGTACGAGAGGCAGCACAAGGCTGCGCTAGGATACGAGGCGACACACTCGGAATCGTTGGACTCGGACGGATCGGGTCGGCGGTCGCTCTGCGGGCGAAAGCTTTCGGCTTCAACGTCATATTCTATGATCCGTACCTACCCGACGGAATCGAGAAGAGCCTCGGGCTGACTCGGGTGTACACGCTGCAGGATCTGCTGTTCCAATCGGATTGCGTCTCGTTACATTGCACGCTCAACGAGCACAATCACCACGTCATCAACGAGTTCACAATCAAACAGATGAGGCCCGGAGCGTTTTTAGTTAATACAGGTAAGTTGTGACGTATTTTGATAAATAAAAGGTGGCTTTGGCGCCAAACTACAGCTTGTCAAAACTGTATCTCTCTTTTTATATCTCTTTATCTCTCTCTTTTTTTTTCACTCTCTTTATCTCTATTTCCCCCTTTCTCTCTTTCTATCTCTCTTTCCCCCCTCTCTCTAGCTCTCACTCTCTAGCTCTATCTCTCTCTCTCTCTCTAGCTCTATCTCTCTCTCTAGCTCTCTCTCTCTCTAGCTCTATCTCTCTCTCTCTCTCTAGCTCTATCTCTCTCTCTCTAGCTCTATCTTTCTTTTTCTGTCTCTCTTTCTCTCTCTTTCTTTCTCTCTCTCTTTCTCTCTCTCTTTCTCTCTATCTTCCTCTCTTTCTTTCTCTCTCTCTCTCTCTAGCTCTCTCTTTCNGGTGTGAGAAAATTCGACCATATATCCCCCAAGTTCGAGGAGTCAGGTTGGTTACCGATTGCTAAAACCTGGCAGTTCCACCTACTCGTCAATACACATAAGTTCCTCATTAACAAAAAGCCAAATTATATTTATGAAAGATATAAAACTTTAAATCGCAGAATAATGCGAAGCCACGAAACCGTCACACTTTTATTATTCCAAAACACTCGACATCCTGCTTTTCTCGTAGTTTTATTTACAACTCTATCAAACAATGTAATGCTCTGCCTAGTGAATTAAGACACTACTCCATATATAATTTCAAGAAAAAGTTGAAAACATATGTGAAGTCTTCTGAATAGATAATATATTCGTGTTATGCCTTGCTCATATGGTTTTCTCTCTGTCTCACTTTTGTGTATGTTTTGCTATATATTTTACCTTATCTAAGCTAAATAGATTTTTAATATTCACTTTGGCATTTATAACCTTTGTTTTTTTCTTAGTTTCACAAAGATTCATGAACTACTCACCAATGTATACTGGGTAATAATTTTAAATTTCTATATAACACATGCTATCCCCTAGGTTAAGTTGTAAAACAGCCTCTGCTGAACAATGCTGCAGAATAAAGCCCATTTATTATTATTATAAATAATTTATCAACTTAGCTTTTCTTTTGGTAAAAAGTATTGAATCTCTCACTAGATTCGGTTACATTGCGATCTGATAAAATTGCACACGTTCAAGACGCGTTTTCCTATCTTATTGTTTCATCTGTTGAATTGGGAATTAAATTTTACGGATAGTGTTGTTATTTTTCATCAAGTAACTGGCAAAAATTCCATTTGTTTTGTACACCCTCTATGATTTTTTTTTGCGTTTTTGTACTGTTTTATATATTTTGTTTGACATTTATTATTTGTCAACATTTCTGGCACTTCTATTCTATCGTGTGATGTTTTTTTAGATTGAACTTCTGACGAAATGACAGTTTGATTTTGTAACAATATGATTATTTGTTTATAATGTTCGTTTCAACATGATGACCTACTTTGTGACTTTGTTTTGATGGAATAAGTTATGGAATAGTACCATGAACTTTCAATTTCTGTTTAGAATAATTATGAATCAGCAAATATTCTCTTATGTTGTTTTGGCATTTTTTCTATTAGCGAATCAATGACCATTCAGTTTGCCAGTATGAATCCCAGTTCTGCGCAAGTTAGTTGATGATCCGTTGCCTTGCACGCGAACAATACTATTTCAGTCCAATCAATGACATTTTTATCATATATTTTTGACAAACAGCAGAGATGTTCATTAAAATTTGGATTCAGATTTTTCTTACCCTCAACTTCAAAATTAACATTTTACTGGGCATTGCTCCTAACCTGGGGGTAACTACAAAATAGAAAGTGAATTAGTTATTTATTATACAAGGAAAAAAAGTATTACATTTAAGCTCGAGGTTGTGTTGTCTCCCGGCGCGAAGCGGCTGACTAATTCTAAACAACCGTTGTTCCATGAAGTTTTTTTATAAAATTTCATACTTTTTGGTTTATTCGCGAATCAAAGTGTTCATTTTTCAATCAATAAACCCACGTTTTTACACGGTTTTTCGCGAAAAACTCAAAAAGTATGTATTTCGAAAATTCATTACACAGTCTGCCAAAAAAACTTGAAAAAATTGTTTTGATTCCGTTGACTGATCATTATTTAGTTTTTTGCGCTGATTTCAAAAATGATATTTGTTTGTATCTATACGTAAGGTTTGCATACAGAATTAGGATGATATAATTGAAAAAGTACAAAAAACGAGGAATTGTGGATTTATTTTTATTATTTTAACATGAAGTAAAAGCAAAAAAACAATGCTACATAACTAAACTGAGGATAATAGTGATACACAAGTGTTTGCAAAGGGATTATAAGTCTGTGTAGAAACGTTAAAGCTTCTTTTGGTACTTGTTCGGCTGTCTTCTTGTGAATTTTCCCTTTTTAACATCCAACAGTAGTCTACCATCATGTCAACATTCTACCGACCTTGGAATCTGCGTTCCATTTCTTTTATGTCTTGATGGAACCGTTCTCGTTGTTCCTCACTAACAGCTTCTAGATTTTCTGGAAAGTAGTCCAGATGTGAGTGAAGGAAATGGACTTTGACACTCATGTTGCAGCCCAACATTTTGTAATTTTGTATCAATTCAGCAACCAAAGTTTTGTAGTTTGGGTCTTTTTTGTTTCCAAGAAAGCCTGTTATAACAAGTTAAAATGAATTCCAGGCATTTTCTCCTTTCATTTCCATTTTTAGTGACAAAGCTTTCGTCTTTTAAAAGGTTTCTTATATCAGGCTCAACGAAGTTAGTTTGGCATCGGATAGACCAGGACACTTTTCAGAAAGATACTTGAAACAATCACCTTCTTTGTCTAATGCTTTCACAAAATGTTTCATTAGCCCCAATTTGATATGGAGTGGTGGAAGTAAGATTTTTTTAGGATCCACTAAACTTTGTTTTTGACCCTTTTTAACTCCAGGAATAAGACCCTTTCTCATTGGCCACACGTGCTTGACATAGTGTTGTTTCCTGTCACGGCTATCCCATTCACATAGGAAACATGGAAACTCAGTGTAACCACTTTATTGACCTAGTAACATTGAAATAACTTTCAAGTCTCTACAAATGGTCCACTTATGATCAGAGTAGCTGAGCTTATTAAGAACAAATTCAAGATTTTCGTAGCATTCTTTCAAATGGAATAAAGGTCCAACAGGCACACAAGCATATTGGTTCCCATTGTGAAGAAGTACAGCTTTCAAACTTTTTTTTGATGAATCGATGAAAAGTCTCAATTTCTCTGGTTCTTACGTTATGTTGAACATTTCCATGACGCCGGGTACATTGTTGCAGAAAACTAGGTCACCTTCTTGTGTAAAAAAAGAGGCAAATTCCCTTTCTCTAAATCGGTACCATGAAAATGAAACACCGGAGGCTAACATATGTCTTTCTTTAAGTCTGGACCCTAAAAGGGGGGGGAGACAGGGGAGGGGACAGATAGACTGACGCATACATGCCTTGTTCCAGTAGGAACTGGATTTTCCTAGTTTAGATTCGTTTTGTTATTGAAATAAATAGATTTCGTCACCAAATGTTGCAATAAGTTCGCATAATGCTCGTCGTCGATACTTTTACCTTTTTTAAGATAGTCAATGAAAATTACCCCAGGCGCATCCCAAAAAACCCATGCCATGACCTTGCATACAGATGAAACGGTCTTCGCCTTCTTTGGAGCCGTTTCTTCCTTTCGAGTCCATTGTTTTGATTGTTTTTTGTGTCTGCTGTAAAGGGGTGTACCCATATTCCATCCATGGTCATGAAACGACGCAAGAATTCTGCTTTGTTGCTGTTAAACTTTGCTAAATACTCAATTGAAACATCTTCACGACACTGTTTCTGCTCGAGTGTGAGCATACGCGGCATCTATCTTGCACCCGGCTTGCTCATGTCAAAATTTTCAGGTAATATACGCTATACCACCCTTTTTGAAATCCCTACTGAGTCTGCTAGCTCGAGCACTTCCAGTCGACGAGCATCAGTATCGCTTTGTGGATTTTCTTCACCGTTTCTGGATTCGTCACCTCATTTGGTCGACCACTGCGATGCTCGTACGGCCTCGTTCAAACTCTGCTACCCAATATTCTACTGTGGTAAACGAAAGAGCAGACTCACCCAGAGTAAAATCCAGTTCAGCTTTTATATTGGTTGGGCTGCAGCCTTTCAAATGAAAGTATTGTACCACATAAGGATGACCAATTTTCCCCACTTTCACACATTCACCGAAAACGTTCGCTATTGATAGCTGCCAAACAAATACTAAACAACCCAGCGTCTTCAAACTAGAAAAATATGCTTTATAGATTATATACTTTCTTATACAGTGATTATTTGCAAACAACTACCGCCATCTCTAGGTCAGGCCGGGTACTTCTGGGACCGCCCTCGTATAACTTTCTATAACAGAGATTTTACCCCAGGATAAAAGCAACCTCCGGTCAATTTATGACCGGAGACCAATTACCACTTACAGGCTTTACAGAAAACGGCCCAGGCGAAGCTCTCCGGCTTACAGAGACAGGCTTGTCTGGCCATCAGTGGTACCACACCGTCAGCGGCCATGGAGATCCTTCTAGAAATCTAGATCTACCTCCTCTCCACATTTTTTTGGAGAGAGAGGCTAGATGGACTGCATATCGACTTGTGCACATTGTCAATTGCACAAATCAATTTAATGCAGAGTGCAACAACAGACTGTTGGTTGACACTGGAAGTCACAGCATTCTGGAAATGACCTCTGACTTTATGCCTCCCACTGTCAACTACGAACTGCCTTATGAAGATCTGTTCCCGAGTAGAGAGGACTGGATCCTCCGGGAAAAGAAAATATTAAGAGTAGACAGTTGTGGGTCCACAGATGGACCAAAAATACCTTCCGGTTCTGGTGCAGGTGTTTTGTTGTGTCGCAGACCCAGAACAGATATATCAACCTGCCTAGGAACCTAGGCGACTGTAATTTAAGCGGAAATGTACGCTATTGAATTGTGTGCGGAGA